GGACACTTCAATGTTTCATGTGTCAGTCCTCTTGTGTCCCTTTTCTAGAGACTCACTTATCTTTCACTTTGTGCTTGTTTCTTGAGCACTTCGTTGGGAGTTCCACTCTCACTCTCGACCTTTTCAAGTAAGAGCTTTTAGTCCAAACATGTTACGCTTGTTTGGCTTTCGCTTTGGCCACTACCACGTGGCACCCTTTTGGCTCCACTTTGGGGCCTAGGGATTTTGTGTCTCACACAACACTACAACTCCTATCATTATCCACTTGTAAAGTACAAAGTGGATGACTTGGTGTTAGTCTATTTTCCTAATCTTATAATACATAATTTGTCTAAAGGGCTCATTGCTTAGTGGAAGGGACCATATTAAGTGTTGTGGAAAGGATTATATCAGATGTTGCGGCAAGTTGGATTACAAATTTATAAGGTTTGGCATGATGTTTAATATGTTGATCCTCTATAAATTGTGCATGTACAACAGCTAAAATGCTTTATACAAAGGGATCAAGAACAACTAACACCACTTACAGATCTACCGATGCCTCCTCCTAAGGTTCGTCCAAATCTTGTTCGCTAGTGTATGGCTATGATGATATATACTGATATTAGCATTGCAAAATTTTGATAAACATTAAATTAGTTTCAATCTGAACCACTTGCTTTTGCAAATAAGCTAGGGTTTTTAGGTTAATTGATATTCACATTTTTGTATTCCATTTCCATATTCTATGCACTTATATATATATAAAAATTGTTTTATGTGAATCTATTACTGTTAACATAACTTGAAGGCCTTGTTAGAGATCTATTCCTGCCATCAAATTTTTATATTTAATAACAAATATAAAATATAAAAAAGTATAATAAATTATATATAAAACATTAAAATATTAAAAAATTTAAAATATCACATAAGTAACTAATCTTATCTATTGAAGTTGATTCTTCAAAATAGTTTTGAGCTACTTACTTATATGGTTATTTAAAATTTTCAAACATATATTAAAGTTAGAGAGAATATATTTCTATAAAAAAAATGACAAAATAATGCTTAATTAGAACAACAAAACAATGAACAAACAAAAAGAAATGATGATTCATTAGCCTTCACATTTTAGTAATATAATTTTGCAATGATCACCAATTTTTAAATTCACACTATAGTTATATAATATAGAAATTAACACAGTTGATTATTATTTGTAGAGTATATATAACTACCACTATATATTTAAATTTTTATAAAATAGAACACTCATAATGTATATAATTATAGATAGAAAAATATTACATAGTCATTACTAAATATCACTAAGTAAATTTTATTTTCTAGCTTTCTTTAGAAAAATTTTCAATTCAATAACAACCACTTTAATTATGAATTAAAAAAATCTAAGAGCATTGGTGCATAGCTCTATATTTGTTGTTACACTAGGATCATACATATCTCCTCAAGAATGCATGTCCATTTTGCAATTTAATTAGGACCACACAAAGGGCTAAGAAATTCTTAAAAGGGAGCCAATGTATTTGTCTAGTATGGGAGATGAAATAATACACTTTAGTTTATAACTAAAGAAGGTTCATACCTTGTGCCTTGGCTACATGTTTAAGTGAAAACATTGATTTAGCACTAGCCAACATTCGGGTGCTTGGGTACTCGTAAGGCATGTTTAACATGCTTTGGAGCATAGCAATTGGCTTCAAATTTTATGGTGGAGTCACTTTAAAAGTGAATAGCCTAAAAGCAGTATGTGCTTGTGAGATTTATTAAAAAGTTTCACTAAGTATTTATTTCATTAAAGAGATGTTGAGAATTCTCCTTAAGAGCTCCTTCATGAAGGATTTATGGAGACTGAATTTTAGAGAGGGAGAGAGGCAAGAGAGATACAGCATAAAGTTGGAAAGGAAGCGCAGACAAGGAGAGGCACGCTAGAATGCGTAGTCGCTACAAGCAGAAGTCTTTGGCCGCTATGTGAAGCCACCACCGGAAGAGACAGAGCAAGATCAAGTTGTGAATACTGCTGCTCGGTGAACAGATTCTTGGGTGATTGTTTTGAGAGCCAGGAGAGCTCTTTCGACGCGAATTGTATACGGCAATTGGACGACTATCAAGTGATAAACTTTTTACCGTTCATATCCAGTGTCATTACTACTGATGAGATTTTCCAGCGTGATGATGGTTCTTGGAAACTATAGCTCAGTGCACGTTCGCCGCAAAGAACGACCAAGCTTTGGTCTAGCGCTGAAGAATCCGATCAAAACACACTCGAGTGAAGAACACAGGCAGGAAAATCGCTCGAGCAAAACTAGAACGGCGGGATTGATCTATGGGTGCTGTGTTGCTCGCAACTCTGGAGCAGTTCACCACGAACTTGGGAAAGTTGACATTCCTGTGGGCGACTGTGGTTCTCCTGGGGGGATTCGTGACCGATATGGAAAGATACGACTTCTACTTCATCACAGTCCTGCTGGTCAGCTATGGTATCCGGAGCTTCCGCTTCCTCAACCTGACCAAAGGCTTCAAGAAACCAAAGGTGATCTCCCTCATCCAGCAACTCTTCATCGTTCTCTTCGTGCTCACCACCATCGTCCTAGTAATCCTCTTGGACGTCGGCCTCACCATCTTCGTGCTCCTCCTGCTGGTGCTCAGCCTTCTCGCATTCGGGTACAGTGTTGGTTCCGAGCGCTCGTTCGTCATCATCTACAACACGGCCCTGTACAACGCTGAGATCTTTCTGGCTCTCCTCAACCTGGGAGCCTCGATCCACTGGCTACGACCACCGCACTACAAGTATCCAAAGTCGAACGAGTTCGTGGCAATGATCTGCTTCTTCTCGATCGTTATCGCCGAATCGAGCTTGTTCCTGTGCAACCGAAGCTGCTGGCAGATCATATCAGTGAGGTACAAGCTGCGAAAGAAGAACAGGGACCGACCGAGATTTCTTCTGGAAACGAAGTCCAAATTCTTCGTTGCCGTGTACGAGACGACGCTGAGAGATGGAGCCATCAAGGGGCTAAGGATGAACTTGGTCGACTACGTCGCGAACGAGTTCTTGGAATCGAGAGGCAACCGGGAACTGAGGAAGAGCTTGCTGATGCTGGATGCGGTGTCCCACTGGGAAGAAGAAGATCAGATAAAGCGAAGTGGGAAGCTCCTCTTGGGATCTAAGCGTGAAGTTGTGGAGCGGCTGTTCGAGTGCATGGGCCACAAGTACGATCTCATGTATAGGCGAGCGGTGATTTCTCTAGTGGCCGAGATCTGCAAGGACGAGAACGCGTTCTTCGCTGTGGCACACGTCGTCCAGGCCAGCGACACAGGCATCTCGCTTCTGGTGAAAGCGCTAGAGCCGGATACCAACAAGTCAGTGCTGTTGTTGCTAGGAAAGCTTGCGGCATTTAGAGAGATTGCCAATCCCGTGCCGAGTGTGATCCCGGACTTTGATTTTGCTCAAGAGGATACGCACAAGAAGTGGAAGGATTCTCTCCGCTATAGTTTCAATGGCGATGGAGATGATCCAGTCAGGGTCGATGTCGAGGCAGAGATCCAGAGCTCCAGGCAGAAGATCGCAAAAAATTTGAGGACGCTACTAAGAAAGAATCAGGACTTGACAAGGTACCTGGCGAATGCTCTCTTTTGTTCCTCCCAGGACCTCCAGGACCTAGCTCTAGACGCTCTCGCGGCATTGGTAGCCTATGATCCCAGCAATGGTGATCTTCTCCCTGGCTACAAGAGCGTCATCTATGGTTTGTTCCAGCTCGTCCGTGCCTGCGAAGCTGATCTGCGAGGAAGCAAATCGGCAGTGGTGCTGGATCTTCTCTGCCGGAAGAATCGCCAGTATCTTGAAACGCTGCTCGATGGAAGCGGCAGCAGCGACGATGTTATAGCAGTTCTCATGAACGCTCTCTCCTTTGGGTTGGATCATTACGATGCCGAAAGGAGCAAGCACACGATGTCGATTCTATGCGGCCTCCACGACCAGAAGCTGTTGAGCGAGGAGCAGGAGAAAGCACTGGACATTGCAAAGATCGTGGACATGGTGACCACTATGACGAGCTCAAGACCAAGTGGCCATGGCTTGACCAGGGAGAGCTAGACCACAAGGGATTGATCATTTGAATGCTGGCATTAGAAGTAGCCGAGCTTTGATCAGCTGTCACATTTTGAATATACCTTTTATTATTAAGTAAGAAACAAATTTTATTACTTATCAATTTTTAATTATTATACAAAATAAGCCCAAAACTTTTATACAGGATCAAAGTGGTCCAAATTGAATTTAATCCAACATGAGCAAGTGATCTGAATTGAATCTAATCCCACAGTTATCAAAATTTCACTCACGATATCTATACTGTCACAATTGTATATAAATGCCATATTTGAAACAAATGCTTGAGCACAATGCTTTCTTGTGGAACATAATTATGCCCAAATATGCCCAGTCTAAGCAGGTTATTAATGTGAAGTTCACCTTCGATGCAATCTTGTAACTCTGAGCACAATGTTGGATGCTTTCAAATAGTGATTGATTTGTTCTTTGAATTATAATGTCAATAATCTAATTATAAAACCTGAGATTATTTTAGGAAAAGACATGAATAACATTAGTATTAGATAGGCTATAATATTCTATAAATATTTGAATAAAACTTGAAACCAAGCATTGATGATTGCTAATCTGGGGGCTTGCTAGTGCATGTTCATTAAAAGATTGAAATGAAAATACTTTTCTCTTTCCTCTATACTTATTTTGAATGAACATTAGCGCTTACAAGCTTCTTTCATATGTGGATGCGTCTTTCACATCCAGCATTTGAACAATGTCACAATGTCGTGCACACCTCACAATAAGCTTGGGTGCTTACCACAGTGAACCAGATCACCACGGTGTCCACAGGGCATGGCAGGAGAAAACATTGGGCTCCTCGCACCAAAGATCCCTGGACGACGAGATTGATCTGTACGCGGAGCTCCTTGGCGGACGCTCCATCTCGCAATCTCCAGCGCTGGGCCGCTCTCAATGACCGTGGAGCGAGAGTAAACCATTCAATGGCGGGTAGGCACTAGACAGTTGGACAGCAGCACATAGCTCGAAGCTTTTGCCGAGTCGAGCTCCATCACTCGCTCCATAGCCCGAGCAGCAAAATCAATGCTTCCATGCATCTTTCCAGCACCCAGCAGCGCAGTCCATTCCCCAACATCCGGCGCAAATGGCATCACCTTGGCGAGCTCCTCGGCCTCCCGGAGCCTCCCAGCTCGTCCCAGAGCATCAATCACGTAGAGGAAGTGCTCTGGCCGGGGACAAATCCCTCGCTCCTGCTCCAGGCACGCAAAATAGTTCATGGCCTCGTCGATCAGTCCACCGTGAGCACAGGCCTTGAAGAATGCGAGGAAAGTCACGTCGTTTGGCTCCAGTCCTTCCCTCTCCATCTCTCGGAAGAGCTCCAGAGCTTCGCGGGTATGCCCATTTTGGGCATAGGCCGTCACCATTGCCGTCCAGGAGACAACGTCGTGTTCTTCCATCTGGTCGAAGAACTCGCGAGCTTGATCAACGCGACCACTCTGCCCGAAGATCTCGATCATCGACGTCCACGAGAGCTTGTCTCGCTCGGGCATCTGGTGGAAGATCGTGCTCCCCTCGCAGAGATATCCCTGCTCCACACAACCGGCAAGGATCGCGTTCCATACCACGAGATTTCTCCACGGCATTCGCTCGAAGATCGCGAGCGCTCGATCCATCTGCCCACACTGGACGTAGCCGGCAGCGATCGCGGTCCAGGACACGATGTCTCGCTGGGGCATGCGATCGAAGAGCTCGTGGGCGAGCTCGATCCTCCCGGAGCTGGCGTAGCACGAAATCATCGCGTTCCAGGAGATCACATCCCTGTGTGGCATTCGATGGAACAGCAGCGTGGCTTGCTCCAGATCTCCATGCTCGGCAAACCCCTGGATCAACGAGTTCCACGACACCACATTTCTCTCGGGCATGCGATCGAAGAGATCCTTGGCGCGATCCACCCTGCCAGCGGCGGCGTATCCATCCACCATAGCCGTCCACGATAGAACATTGTGTTCTGGCATTCGATCAAAGAGTTTCTTCGCCTCAGAGATCTCTCCCCCGCGCTGTGCGTAAGCTGCCACCATAGCATTCCAGCACACTATGTCTCGCCTCTCCATTCGATCGAAGAGCTTCCTCGCCTGGATCAAATCGCCTCTCTGGGCATATGCTGCGATCATAGATGTCCAGGCTTCCATCACTGGCTCCGGCAGCGAATCAAAGATCCTTCTAGCCTCCTCCAAGTGATTCTTCTGCGTGTAGCCAGTGATGATCGTGCTCCAAGACACACTATCTCTCTCGGGCATAGCATCGAAGAATCTCCGTGCTTGTTCCAAATCCCCGCTCCTGATCGCTGCCTGGACCATCGAATTCCAAGACACAGTGTCGCGCTCGCGCATTCCAGCGAAGAACCTTTGCGCTTCACGGAGATCCGAGAGAAATCCCAGCACAGTGTTGCAAACTACCACGTTGGGCTCGGGCATCTGGTCGAAGAGCTCGCGAGCTCGGCCCAGATACCCATTGTGGGCATACGCTACAATCATCATG